GCAGAACCGAATGAATCGGCAGCGAAAGAAGAAGAAACCGAGGTAATCGGAAGAACCAGAGAGGATCGACGGATATGGCGGACGGCTAAAATGCGCCAGTCCCGATTTAGCTTCGTCTCTTTGCGTTTTTCCCCGCTTCTTCTATATTTTACTTTGTCCTTCTTCTGCTCCGCGTGCACGATAGAACGACCTGCGCACGTTAGCAACAGGACCGAAGAGGAAGGAAGGAGTTCTTCTTTTTCTCTGGAGGGCCTTAAAGGCACGAAGCCTTATGGGCCTTTTTATTATTAATTACTTAAATCCAAATCAATTAGCTGGACCAACTTGGCTTTATCTTAATTCATCCCTGAGATGCCACGTGTCATTGTGTATGTGGTTAAGCATTTAGGGTGATTGAGCTGGCAATTGGAAGTTGTTAATTTGTAATAGTAGAAAAAAACCAAAAAAATGGCGATAGAAAGGTGTATGAACTTCGATTCTGAAACTAAAGATGATTTAAATGAGCATTTTATTATGTACTATGTTGTACATTTCATAACAGATTGTAAAATTCGTTTAGTTTTACTATTGAACACAATGTACTTGACTTCTAAAATCATCTGCAGTATCGTAACATATTTTTATTCTTTTGAGTTGTTGAAGCTTGAACTTTCGGAGAACTATTCAATTTTTTCGGTTAATATTTGATTTTTCTTTTTTGTATATTCGGTTCTCACGTTTCCATATGCCATGATTAACTTTGACAATTTTTGGTCAGCTACTTTGAACTTGTCCAACGCATGAAAACCAGAACGTAGAAGTAGAAGTTCGATCCAAAAGAACTTTCTATGTTGTTGGGCCTCTATTTCGTTTTGAGAATTATTGGAAGTGTCGGGAGAAGACTATGCCCACCCATATAGAGAGACAAGTCAAAAAGATGAATTTGCTTGATAACTCACAAAAGGCTCCACGAGCACAAAACTGAAATAAATTTGTCTACTTGTCCAAGTCTTTAAGCATGAGTAACTCACAGAAAGAACAATTGCCGAGTCAAAACAAAACAATAAACTACTACTTTAACGGTGAGGTCAACAGAACTATAACCCAATAAGACGGATCTCGTGAAACTACTTCAGTAAAAGAACCCAAGAACTTTGCCACCAACATTCTTTCTCCTGGCTTCTTCGTGATCCATGATTCCCGCTGAGGTAGTCAGAACGATGTAACCAAACTGCACACAGAGAAGAGTTCAATAAGTTGTGGCATTGCAAGATGAAAGAATATAATGTTAATATACGAGGGATGACACTTAACACCCGATTAAACCCTAAAAGGAAAAGCAAAGTGAGCATGTAAATTGATACAAGTACATATATTTTTTTTGGTTAACTCAAAAGAATCAATAAAAAAGGGGTCAATAGAGAAAAGATAGGGTTTCAATTTATGCCCGCAACGGAACAAGAACAACATTGATCTAGCTGCCCTGATCTCTCAAAGGCAATTTGATATATGTATGTGTTAGAAGTATTAACTCGAATCTTATGTTATAAAACATAACTAGATGGCAAAAGTACAGATAGAAAAGGCAAAGATAATATAGTCTCCAAACTAACCTGTCGGGAAGGAAGTAGACGAGCAGTCCAACTCTCGATCTCCTTAACACCAACATCAAAACGAGGACTGATAACTCCACACTTGTTCAACCTTCCATTTAGCTCAACAACAATCTTACCAGACCTGTGGTCATCAACATACTCAAACTCGCCAATGTAACCTACGAATCCATGAGAAACAAGAGTGGAAAAAGCATCATTACACTTGAAACTACCAAGGCAGCCAAAATACTAAGAATTAAGACAAACTAAGAATGCAAATGACCATACCGTGCTTTTGCATGACAATTAGGAACTTGATGATAACTTTAGAAGAAGGCCTGATCATAACCTGCCTCTTTCCCCTTTTCTCTGCATTGTACATACTCTTAAGAGCGTCATTGAGAACACTGATTCTCACCATTCTTCAAAATTCAAAAACTGCAAACCACGAACAGCAAAATCTGAGATTAATGAATCTTAAAGCAGATGATAAAGCCCTTTGTAAACACTGACGCAATGTACTTTTTCGTTTAATAAGATACACAAAAGAGCTTCTGCTTCCAATATCATCTAGACATACCATCTTATACCGAAATGCAACGAATTGTATCCCAAAATGATCGACTACACGCAGCATATCCAACGGAAATCAACAAAAACAATGAATCCGATACAACATCTGACTATTTCTCCTATCATTTCGATTAGAAATGGAGTTTTCGAATCCCAGAGATTTTTCTAACCTGAAACCGAAGTAGCAGCCGCTCCGACCTCGCTTTCTCGCTTGCCTTGACGAAGCACACACATAAACACGAGCTAGAAGGCGGAACAAAATTAGGGTTTTCGCCTTTATCGCTTCACTTGCTACGGGCTAGACCTAAGTTCCATCAGGCCCGACTGTAGAGTTAGGCCCATTTAGCCCATTAAGAAACAAAGGGGATTAGTGGGCCCGATTCAAAAAGTGTCTCTCAAAGCAAATCTTGACCGTTCACTGCATCAAAGGATTTGGTGTAATCTAACGGTAGATATTATATTCCACGTCATCAATCCTCATGAAGCAATACCTAGCCAATAAGAATCTAACTCATTGTCATATATATATATCAACCACCGAGTCGATTGAAATCACATACATCTTCTTACGTTTTCCTAACTCACTTGCTCTCACGATTTTCATCTTCTGAATATTTCTTTGTTACTTTTTATTTCTTGTGAGAATGGCACCAAAGGCAGAGAAGAAGCCGGCCGAGAAGAAACCGGTGGAGGAGAAATCAAAGGCCGAGAAAGCTCCGGCGGAGAAGAAACCAAAGGCCGGGAAGAAGTTGCCTAAGGAAGCCGGAGGTGCAGGCGTCG